AATTTGTGACATTTACTTCTACTACAACGGGTGTCGCAAGAAAAAATTATTCTTTTTCGTATGTCAGTTATATTTTTAACCGAATTTTACAAATGCTGTCTTTTGTTTTGGACGTCAGCTTCTTTCTCCTGGATAACTGGGCTTTCAGAAAACAGGCGTGCTGTTTTCTTTTTTCCTTTCCGTTTACTTATGTATTTTCCTCGGGTTATACATGTGATGTTATGCTGAAGCATACAAACCTGGGTGAGCACTCGTTTTCTGTGCAGCGCCTAGCTAAATAATGTAAGATTTGTTGTTTATTGTTCTTTTTTTTTGTTAAAAAGTTAAAGAAAATCGAATTCTGGAACATGCCTGGCACTTGGCTTAGCTGTCCTTACCATACAGTGTAACCACACAAATCTTGGGGTTGAGTGAAACAAATCCAAATAAATCGAAGCTTACAACATTTTTCGGCCTATAAAGTACTGTTTGGCATCGTTCAGTGCCCCGTGAAGATCACCAGGTCTGTTTTTGGACAAGCAGTGCGATGAATCGAATGTATTTTAGTGTTTCTGGCCTAGCGCGAGTATCAGTATCCCCCCGTCGTGTTTCTACAGCCAATAGTCAAAATCCGGTCAATGTACGATTATTCCTCGCGAGATTTTCCCACACGGCGGTGTGCGGACAAAGGACATTCTCCTAAAATTTCAGCTTCCTACATCCTGTGTTTCCCAAGTTATTAAATTAGGCGCCAAAACTTCCATATGACCATAAGTGAAGCTCAAAATGGGATTTTACTGATAGGTGGCACCCACATCGCTAGTTAGCGAAGCAAGCAAAAAGCCCTGCACGTGGGATTTTACATTTGGTTTATCATTTCCTGTATTTCCTAGTTCTTTACCAACAGAACCATTCCAGTGGTGTACACGATTGGCTTTGCGAAGAAGCGGCAAAACAGGAAAATATGGATTTACTGAACAAAACGGCATCACATTTGGTTTCACACTCAACAATCTCTCTTACACAGGATGATCAAACAAATGGATGAAATCGTTTTCACAACAAAACTTCTTTGGATTTAGAAGCTCTTATTTTATCCGGAACTACTGCGACGCCAGTGCCGGGCTGAGTTCCCGAAGCCGCCAGACAATCATCATGGATGCCAAATCTAGGCAGCAAAAACTTCAGCTCAGACTTGGCATTATTCCAGGTGTAAAGAGCGCTTATTCTAGGGCCAGGACCGATCTCAATTCCGGATTAATTTCGCCTATTTTCGAAGATACGCTTGTTAAATCTCGCGAAAAAAGTGCGCCTCTGTAAAATCATCAAACTAATTTCTAAAAAAAATTGCACTTCTACAAATCTGCTTGTTAATTTTCTCAGCCATCAAGTCCCTATTTCGGAAAAAACATGTTTCAATTGGAAGTATAATAAAAGTACTGGAAGATTTTGGTTCTGACTAAGACTATATTGGTGCCGGGGGAGATTTTGGACGCAAATCGGCGCCTAAGTGAATAATAAATTACGCCAAATTGGGCACTAACAGACAGAAGATGATCGCTCTATTACTGCAAAAATGCATGGGAAAAAAGAAACAGGACACACAACACATTCATGGGGCATTGCTGGCAAAAATTTCGAAATTTTTAACAGGGTAAAAACGAAGTTTTCTTAAAACACAGAAAGTTTAGGAAATCGAAACAACCAATAAATTCTAAGATGAAAAGGCGCTGCTTACGGAGGGTGTGTGTGTGCGTATCACATGCTAAGTATATGCTGAATAATACATGTCTGTGAACGTTTCACACG